CCCCAAAACCCCAAAACCCCAAAACCCCAAAACTAAACATTTTTACAGATAAAATAAAAATTTTAATTTATTACATAAAGTGATACTGATTTTTTACATATTAGTTCAATCATTTTAATAAGGTTCTTCATTTACACCTCGAGTTTAGCTGGTTCATATCTTTACTAATGCGCTTGATAGAATAGTCCAAACTCTCATAGATAATAACACTTCTTGACTATTTCAGTCTTTTCTTCTAAAGTCTTGGCTTATGCTTCTGCCTCTAACACTAGGAGAGCCCTCTGGATTTTGAAGTGAACCAAATTCACCAGTTAATTCGCATTCCCCTCTAAGATACTCAGAAATGCAATCTTTTAGTGAATTTTTAAGCAGTTTTTTCGCTTATTCTACTACTCCAGTATCAGATGCATGATCATCCTCCAGTCCCTACATAAAAATATTAATTTAAATTAATTTAAAAGTGAGAAACTTACAAGTTATTTTTTCTATTGGGAGGCGATATGCTTATCCTTAAGAAATTTAAGGTGTTTCTCTTCGTATAGAGTAAATGCACGAGGTATTCTTGTCAGTTTATCCTCGAAGAATACCTTTGTAGAGACTGGGGCAATAACTTTCTTTACTTTAGGAGACTTCATTTCTTTCTTCTCCTTTTACTTAGTAGATTTTTAAGTTTTCTTTTTGCTTTATGATCTTGAGGAATTAGATTTAAAGTTTGAATTGAAGAAAAAGTCTTCGTTATAGATACTCTAAGAGCAGTAATAGGTCGATTCAAGATCTTCCTCAGTAACTTCATCCAAAAAATAGGACTCTCTAGGCTTTTTGGACTTAGTGCCAGATTTTTCAAGCTTATTGACTTTACTTTTGGTTTGGTAACCAGTTATTTTTTGACTTTTCTTCATAGATCTTGAGACATGACATGTGTCTCTAAGACTCCATCTTATGATGGGCCTAAGATTATACCTCTAAAGCCCCTTTCTTTGCTCTTTTACTCTTCTTCTACTGCCATATGATAGCCCAGTTACTTTTGACATGTTGCTAGTAGTTGAGTATGGGGTAAAAACCCCGCTCAAGAAAGTATCGGAAAGGTAAGTGGCGCCTCCCTCATCAGATGACTGATAATCTTTGGAGGCTTCATTAATGCAGGAGATGTTGGTCTTGAAGCTTCTTTTAGAGTTAGACTTTCTTAGTATTTTGGTTTTATAAGTGTCACTTGGGACTGCCAAGTGGCTCTGTCTCTTAAGGTGAGCACGATTCATATATTCAATAATTTTTTTGTTAGTTAATTATTAGCTTGAGAATAATTGTAAAGTTCTTGCTTGTCTATTTATCACTTTTTATGATAGTTTGCAATAAGACACTGAAGCTCATTGACTATGTTTATGCAACCAATTATAATAATATTTTTAATACTAAAGTCTCAGTTTATATACTTTTGCGCTCTTTTTTCAAAAATATGGTTAAGTGGGGTTTTGGGGTTTTGGGGTTTTGGGG